ATTATTAAAATCCTCACAATGTCAGTATTTTAATGCAGTTAATTTATCTAAGTTAAACTCTGGTAGTGAGATTTCTAATGAAGCCAAGCTGTCTGTATGCAAGTGTGCGTGTGTGTGCGCACATGCAAATCCTGTAGACACCCTTTCATGCATTACATTAGCCATTTGCTAATTTATTCCTTTGTCATCTTTGAATAGGTCTGTTCATTCTGAAGATCAAAACAAATAGAGAGTACTTGTATCAGTTTTGTGCTTTATTTTACTCTCCAGCTTTTATAATTTAACTTATAGGTTGCATTACTGTTATGCTGTTTAAACAAACAAAATACAACAACAAATGCCACCAACAGCTGCTTTTGTGAGGGCAAAACCATTGGTTTGCTGCAGATCCTGAACGTGATTTTTAATGAACAATTCAAACCGAGTGAATGAGATATTAAACGGTCAGAGTTGCTGGATAGATTATGGTTAGATTCGAGGTGTACATTTCACTGAATTTTAGTGAACTGCTCTTCCGGATACACCCAGAGAGCAGGTACTAACGTAAGAACTAGCTGATTTATTTCATTCCAGTAAGTCACTGCTGCCTTGTAGATCTGCAGGACAGCTACAGTCTTTGCTGATAGGCATTAACTCGTGTAGTAATGAGCCTAGCTAGTCAGCCCCGTAGTTACGAGGAGAGCTGTGAATATCCTTCGGTGATCATGAACTCTGAGGGTGAGCTTCAGGCCATTCTGAAACACCCAGTGGTGCCAGTATTTTAGGGAAGGTTTTATGGATTTTACAAACTGTGAGCTTTACTGCAAGAGGTGTGAGAGGTCAGGTCTTGCTTGCCACCTTCTGCTTAGATGTTGAGGTCAGTTGGATGAAGCAAGCAGGATCTGGCCTTACGTTGTTGTGGTTAAGAATCGTGCTGTATTAGAAATTTGAAGCAAGGCTGCAGAACTGCTACAGATGTAGTGTAGAGAAATAGCTTGGGGAAAAAACAGGGTACCAGCATTTTTGTGCAGCAGTTACAAATATCCTGACAGATGTCGTATGTTTAGGGTAGTTCTGAGAATTGGATGCCTCTTTGTTCCGCTGTAGAAAGGAGACAGAGAATGTCAAGAAGCAACGCATCCTCGTCCCTCCCAGTGTCCAGCTCATGTACGCTCACAACATTCATTTCAATCGTTTAAGTACTGTGCTTGAGTGTAGTATTTGTGTTACCTTTAACAGGACTAAGTGTTTTATGGTTATCAAAAAGACTATATTTATTTAAAGCATTGCTTTTATTTTGAAAAGCTACTTTTTAAATTAATTTGATTAACAAATACGCTAATTTTCTGAACTTAACAAAAAGTAATTGCTGAAAGTTTGACCATTGGAGAATCTTACATAGCTATTGTGTTAAGTTATTTTTGACTTCTTAATTAACACTGTTATGTTCATGTTGCACATTACTGAGAGAGTAAAGCTATGAAACAACTTTGACCCCTGTTTTTAAAGTGATTTAACACAGAAGGTAATCAGCGAGACTTGGATAAAGATGGGCTAGAGCGGGTAAGTTGCTTGAGAGGAGGTCCCGCTCTAATAAGAACTATATTATTGCAAAGGTTATAACTCAGATGCCTTAAATACCATTTCAGTAAAACTTGCCATACTTCTTCAGATCCAGCCCTAAATCCACCGTTTCTCTCTCCATTAGAAGGTGAGACTTCACTGAGGCCTGGAGAGGGGTGGCTTTTGTGTTTCAGGCAAGGCATAAAGCCCAGATCAATGGTGTAAGTATGCACGTTCACGTTTTGCCCTCCTGGGTTACCTTCCTGATTTCATCATGGGTTGTGTTTATATGAAAAACAGCACTTGGCCTTCAGTGTTTACAGTTAGGGAGGATGGAAATTGTTAACCTGGCACCACCAATTGTGAAGGATCAGCCTTCGGAAAGCATCTCTCTCGGAAGGGAGAGGTTGCTTCAGGAAGGGTGAGTGGCTTGCCTCTTGGTGCTTCCCTTAAACCTAGAAATAGCTTGATTTTTCTCTGTTTGAAAGACTGTCCTAATGTCTCTAGAGGAATGGCTGGCAAAACACCTTCTAGTCCTCCTTCCTTCTCTGATGTTACAAACAAATGAACATAAAATTACACAGAGAAGGGCTTGCTTTTTGTGCTGACACGGAGAGGGGTGCCACATAGCTCTTGCTCTCTGTGTATTTGCAGAACCAGAAGAGAGTGGCTAGATGGAACTCCCATAGCGTGCATGCCCACACCTTTCATGCCATGTTTAGCATTCATATCGTGTCCTGTGCCAAGGTCATGCTGCATGGCTTTCTGTGCCAAAGTATGGGGAGCAGAAAACCATGGGCACCCTGGATTGCCCCAGGTGGCCAGGACTCTGCCTGGTGCTGGTGCCCACCACCCTGCAGCTGGAGCAGCTCCACCCTCCCTCCTGCATGGAGAGACGGCTGGCGCCAAAAGCTCATCTCGCCTTCCTCTGTGCCCCTTTCAAAGTCACTGGGAGTGGGAGTGGATGCCACCGCAGCAGCCGGCATAATAAAATAATAAAAATTCAGCCTTGAAGGAGAACACGTAGAAAAACCATATCCAGTCTTGACCACAACAACACACGGGGGGCTGAGAACCTGGCCTTCGGGGAGAGTTTCATGACACGCCTGGCTTCTTGCAGTGACACAACAACGTCCTCTGGGCTCTGTGCTGGTATGGTTTGCCTGATGTCCCACCCAATGTTATTTACATCGCTTCAGGGGGAATAATGTCAGGAAAGGGTTACAGGGATTTGCAGTTGTTTAGAGCGTGTTAGCAACTAGAAATCAGAGAAGCTCTCAGGGAGTGGAGTGGGGAAGTGTCTTCCAGAAGGAATACAGGAGTGAATCTACCTGGGTTCTCGTTCCACCTCTACCACCGTGTCCTACATTGTTACGGTATTTATTTTTCCTGTGTCGTTCTCTCATCTGTAAGATAAGACCGATGATGTTTTCCTTCCCAAGCATGGATTAGGTGACAGATTTCTGAAACCCCTTGAATGTGCTGGTGCTCTCAGGAGAACATCCAGGCACTGCAGGGTGTCCCGTAACACCAGTGTCTGCCAAATCCTCCCACCGCTGGTGGGTGCAGGTGAGCCAGCGTGTGTGAGGAGGACTGAGCCGTGACCTGCTCCTCTCTCCTGAGCATTGGTTCCTCCAGTGCTCAGGGGTACGTTGTCCACATGCCTGTGTCTGGCCCCAACCAAACTGGACCTTTGGTCAAGCATGGTGAAGGGGCAGCCGCCTCCAAGGTGATAAGTTCCTGCAGATTTCCCAAGCTAAGACAGGGTGGGTGGCTCTGAGAGGCCCCGGCAGCACCTTCCCTGGGGCACGAGGCTGCAGCATGACCTCTACCTGTGTGTTTAGGCACCAGGGCCCACAAGAGAAAGAGTGGATGCAGAGGTTTCACTTGGATTTTAATTCTTCTGTACATGAAGGAATCCAGCCCTGAAGCATGGGAAACGAGGCTGAATTACCAGCAGGATTGAACCCTTTCCCCTCCCTCTTCTGAGCTCAGCACAAGTTAAAGCTCCATGCTGTTCTGCTACTTTCTGTATAATTTTTTGTGCATTTTATTCTCTGTTTTTTAAATGGCTAATGCAGCTTTCCAGTGCAAACAAGGTGAGAGTTTTGCATGTTCTTCTTTCTGAGATTCATCTCCCAAAATAGATTGTTATCAGATAATTGCATGCACGGAGAGAGCTTTTCTGTGTAATAATTCCTCTCTTCCATCTATCTGTTTTGACTAAAACATTAGGTCGTAGCCTCCTTGGTCTCCGTCCCACTCTCATAGAGATAGACAGCAGCCTCGCACAGGGGACTAACTCAGGAAGCTTCAGAAAAGAAAAAGGTGAGGGGGTCGCAGGAGCAATTTCTTCTTGCCTCCCCTGCTCGCTGTGGGACTGAACATGGTGGCCTTGGCTCATATCACAGCAGCAATAGATGATGTACATGTTCAATAAATCTGAGATTTACTTCTTATAAAGTGAGTGCTTAGCAGGGGAAAGGTGATTGTGAAGGATGAAACCGTCTGGGCACAGTGAATGTGCACTTGGGAATGCAGCAAACACCAGGCACCCAAAACCCCTCCCCTGTCAACCCCTCTCACCTCCCTGGGCAGGCATGAAAATCCAAAGGTTTCCATAATATTGTACCTGTAAAATTGTCTCCAAATTGCCACACCAAGCACGAGGCAGTATGTTTCCCCAGGCAGCTGGTGAGTACCACAGGGATGCATTTCCCAGGTCCAAAGTGCGAGTGCTGATGGAGACTATTCTGGCATGGTCCCTTTGGGTTGCCTTTGCACAGACTCAGGCTGAGCACTCTTGCATTTGCTTTCCACAGCAGGTCCCTGAAAAAAATTTTCCTTTTTAAAATAATGTTGAGGAATACGTGAGTTCAGTAACCGAGATGTGAGCGGCTGGGCCTGAAATGTGATGCAAGCGCTCTCCCACCAGCTGTTCCTCTGCAACAGAGAGTACTGCGTGGACGTGCCCCCGCCAAATGGTCATGTTTTAAATGGGGATTTTCTACTCTCTTTGTTTATTTGAAACAGTTTATGAATAAATTGCTTTTGCAAAAAAATAATCATGGAATAATTTCAAGAAAATGTGCAGAAGCCAAAATCTCGGCAGACAACAAGTGAGCAGGAGGCAGTGTTACGTTTTGACAGCTGTTTGCTGTGCACAGTCTACGCCACCCTGCTCTGGGAACTGGAAGAAAACGATTGCAAAAGCAAGTTTGAATTATTGGTGGTGTTAGAAGTATTTTCCCTGCTAAAGTGGGCACTCATTCATTTATTAAGACACGAATATAGTAGAGTTGGGAAGCAAACGTGATACTTGAGGCCAAAAGTAAGTGAGCACGGACAGGAGGT